TGGCCTCTGGAGTGTTTTACAAGACACCATGTAACCCACAGCCATGTAATCTCTCCACTTCCAGCTGACTGAGTAACCACTGCTGGAGCCAGTTGGCAGGATCATTGCCTTGGAACTCATTTTGGTCCTCGTCACTCCCAGGCAACACACAGGGCTTCTTCTCACCCAATTTTCTAAATATTTAGATAAATTTGCTTTTCTCAGGGAAAAAAAAAAAAAAAAAAAAAAAAAGGAGGTAACCACATTTGTATATAACCTGAGCACCATTACACTGATAATGATTTTTTTTTTTAACTTTTATTTTGATTTTTACTTTAATCACTGTGGGTCAGTGTCAAAGAAGCTTGTTATGCAATATAAGGAATCTCAGAGTCAAACTTCACTGTCTGTTTCATACAAGAGGTTCTTTCACCATTGTTAGCTTGCTATTTTCTTTCATTTATTTTGGAAATGAAAGCAAAACAGTATGAAAGTATCCAGCTCTTGTGTGAGGGCATTTAGCAAAACAAAAACAAACCCACACATCCCTCTCAGTCCCAAGGTTTGGGTAGCTGGTTACGTTCGTGCTAGCAAGTAAAATGAGTCCCTTAGTCGTGCACTGTGTGCCATGCTGTAACTTAGACTGCACAGCCAGTGTGTCTTCTCACACCAAAATAGAACCCAAACAATCCCTGGTGAGCAACAACCCCAACCAGGTGTGTCTGAGCCAAAATTGTGGCAGAACTGTACCTGTGGCTTCATTAACGTAGAATCACAGAATTCTTTGAGTTGAAGGGACCTTTAATGGTCATCTAGTTCAACTCTGTAGCAATGAACAGGGACACCTACAGCTACATCTTTCTTTTCCACTGTGCCTGTGCCCTGTCAGTTCTTCACAGTTCTGATACTGCGCTGCAGGAGGCCAAAGCACAACTTGTTGGGTGAGGCAAAAGGTTTTAGAGGACATAATGAATGAGACAAAAGTGCTTTGATAAACACATCCTGGGAAATGTCACCCTACCCTTAAGCTGACCAAAAAGTTCTCAGAGGTGTCCAGCAGACCCAGTTTTCCATTTTTTTTTTTTCATCCTTTTGTAGAGTTCCCAATATCAAGGTTGTTATTCTGCTGTTTCAGCACATCGCTGAACAGTGTGTTACTGTAAGGGAACCAAGCCTTGTGCACACATAACTGAAGACCCAGGGAAATCACGTATTTTGTAAGGGATTCGTATGTATTTCTAGAAAGTGAAAGTCAGTTGTAGATAAACAAGACGGGCATGATGGCTACAAGCCATTATTATATTGCCCAGAATTTGGAGGAGTTGTAGAAAAATCTGCTTTGAAGTGTCTCAGCAATCTTCTGGTTAACACCAGAGGCAATCTGTTTACTTCTGTCATTAGGATGATAGTTATTTCTTGGCGTAATAAATGCATAATATTTATGGTAGCCCTGAGTTTTTTTTGTAAACTTCAGACGTGTCCCATGATCTCTATTTTATGCAAGCATTATTTGAAAGGTTATTAAAATTTCAGGAAAATCTTCTAGGAATTAATCTTCCTTAACTTCAGGCAGTGGCAGCATAGCGAGAGCTGCACGAGCTCTGCTCGCTCCAGGCTTCCTTTGTAGTTAAAACAGAGAAGTCAGCAGGTCTGGGGCGGGTTTCATGTGACCTGTTTTAGGGAGGAATTAAATCCCATTTCCATTGCCTATATGGCAGCCTAGATGATGAGCTCAGATGGGGATGTCTGTGCTGTGGATGTTAGCATTTAATTAGAGGACATGCTCTAATTTGGGATTTGGGTCGTGATTCATTTGTGATAACTGAGATTGAAACTTGTCAAATAACTCCTGGTCGGCAGCAGTGTGGTTAACAGAAACCTGCCTTCTGTGTCCCAGTGTCTATGAGTGTGCTGACAGAGCGTGGGATCTCCCAGGGCCCCCCTGTTTGCTTCTGTGGAGCGCCTGACTCCATAGGGCTTATTTGCAATAATTTGTTTAAATTTTTTGCTGTAAGTAGACAAACAAGAAACTGCATGCATGCTTTTCTCCAGGAAAAAGAATCCAGACGGTGAAGCTTCCTGCTGACAAGACAACTTCCTGCTGCTTTGGAGGAAGGGATTATTCAGAGATGTATGTGACTTCAGCCAGCGATGGGATGGATAGAGAGCGGCTCTCACAGCAGCCACAGGCTGGTGGGGTTTTCAAGGTGAATGGTTCATTTTCCTTTCATTTTACAAGGCCGTTTTTCTCCTCCTGCACTTAGACAGCACAACAGTTGGAGTGGTGGGAAGCGGGAGGAGGGTGGTTGTTAGAATGCCATTCGTACATGTGAAGTTCATATTTTTGGTTCCTGTTGCAGGAGGAGAAACTTAAATGTATTCAATGATTTGAAAATGTTTCTTTATTTAAAATTTGTTACTGTGACATCCATACTAACAAATAAAATGGGTCAGGAAATGTTCTGTAGACCCTGTAATACATGGCACATTGTAGCTGACAGTGCAAATTTCCTATGCCCTCACCTCTTCTTACTGCTCCCCTCCCAGGAGGGAGTTTTCTGTTTATTACAGGAAGATGTTTTGTACCCTAAACAATGGCAGATAAAAACATCTGCTTTTATTTACTCTCTAGATAGTTGTAACTAAATTCTCTCTTTAAAAAATACCTCACCTGAGGATTGTGTTTTAAAGACCCCACACTTCTGTATAGGTGGGGGGAATTACAGAACTATGGCTTGGCAGCATCTGAGAAGAGGCTTTTGGGGAATGGATGATGGACTGAGGAGTGGCCTCTGGCCTCTGATTGCTTAGTGTGTAAAGAGTGTGGGTTGAAATTCCAGCCTGTGTTAACTGGATACACAATGCAGTAGTATGTCAGGTTGGACACCATCCTTTTCTAAATGAAAGCAGTCCTGATTGTGAAAGAAGAGTGTTTGGCAGTGGTGACATAACTGCATTTTTCTTTTTTTTCTCCTCTCTTTTTTTTGGTAGATTACTGGGCTTGGGGTGAAAGGAATCCCACCATACCCATTTGCGGGTTAGATGTGCACTCTTCAGAATGGATTCAAGAAAACTGATTCAAGCAAGACGAGTCAGAAGGTCTTATCTGGGTGTTCAGCATCTTTTGCCTTGAAACCATAACACAATTACAATATCTCTTCAAAAAAGGATGAAAAACTAATAAAATACACGGAATATTTTTAGACTGAAGTATCAGATGGTATATTTTGTTGTAATAAAAGATTCTTGCCCTAGTAAACTATTGGATGTTGTAACTTTCTTCTCTAGTGAAATAATTTGTTTCCAGAGCGACCTGGACAGGCTGGAGAAGTGGGCCCATGTGAACATAATGAGGTTCAATAAGGCCAAGTGCAGCGTGCTGCGCTTGGGTTGGGGCAATCCTAGGTATTTATACAAACTGGGGGAAGATCTTCTTGAGAGCAGCCCAGTGGAGAAGGACTTGGGGATCCTGGCGGACAACAAGCTGGACATGAGCCAGCAGTATGTGCTTGCAGCCCAAAAGGCCAACTGTGTTCTGGGCTGCATTAAATGGGTGGCCAGCAGGTAGAGGGAGGTGGTTGTCCCGTTCTACTCAGCTCTTGTGAGGTCCCATTTGGAGTACTGTGTGGGGCCCCCAGCACAAGAAAGACATGGATCTATTGGAATGGGTCCAGAGGAAGGCCACAAAAGGTGATCAGAGGACTGGAGCACTCTCCTGTGAGGAGAGGTTGAGGGAACTGGGCTTATTTAGCTTGGAGAAGAGAAGGTTCTGGGGAGACCTCATTGTGGCCTTCCAGTACTTGAAGGGAGCATATAAACAGGAGGGGGAATGGCTGTTTATGAGGGTGGACAGTGATAGGACAAGGGGAATGGTTTTAAACTGAGACAGGGGAGGTTTAGGTTAGATATTAGGAGGAAGTTTTTCACACAGAGGGTGGTGATGCACTGGAACAGGTTGCCCAAGGAGGCTGTGGATGCCCCATCCCTGGAGGCATTCAAGGCCAGGCTGGATGTGGCTCTGGGCAGCCTGGTCTGGTGGCTGGTGACCCTGCACGTAGCAGGGGGGTTAAGCTAGATGACCATTGTGGTCCTTTTCAACCCAGGCCACTCTGTGACTCATGACTGTAACTCTATGAGCGTGTTTTCTTTTTGTTGTTTATTCTCCTGCCTCATTTGCAGTTTGCTTTATGTGTACAGGAGAGGTGCAGGTGACAGCACTCTCACTAGTGTGCGAGGTCCTCTTGGACTTGGGTTTGTCATTGCCAGCCAAGAGGCACAAAGAAACGCCAGGCCCGAACCCCCCCATCCTCTGCTCCATGTGCGGGGGGCTGCAGGCAGGCACGTTGGGCACACACCTCTGTACTCACTGCTCTGGGAAGGTGGGCAGGCACAGGAAACTTAGCGAGAGATTATAGGAAGAAATGCCAGCTCTCCTTTTCCCAGGATCACATGCTGCACTTCTTCCAGCCGGTTTCGCAGGCACCGGGTGGTGAGGAAGAGCCCACTCTGCTGACAGAGCTGTGCTTACCACGCTGCCAAAACCTGGCTGCACTCCAACAGCCCTCAATGCCAAAGCAAGAGCTGCCTCCAGCATCCTGGGAAATGGGACGTATTCCAACTGGAGCTTCCTGACAGAGCGTGGGCCTACAAATGGTCCGAGCAATTGCCACTGCCCAGCCTTTCCCTCCCACCTGCTGACTCCCTCCATGGGGAAGGCTTCCTGGCTTTTGTTCAGTCTCTGCCTTGTTAATGGCACTTACTTGATTTCGTGTTGGGTTGAGCAAGAGCCCAATGACTGGAGAAACTGTATCAAGAGGAGCAGCTGCTGTGCCCTGAGGGGTTTTTCATCCTCGTGACCAAAATCTATAGTCATAGGTGAAGCCTATTTATTCCCAACCAAGCTGGGGAAATCTCAAATAATCCTTTGCAGGTATAAGAGCTCTGCCAGGATTAAAGCAGGCAGCACTGTGTGCTGGGGGAGCTGCAGCTCTGCCCAGCTGAGGGGAAGGGACCATCTCAGTCCTACAGAAGGGTGAACCCTCGAGAAGGCCTCCCCTGGTTTTTGGACAACAGCATTGAGTGGACTTCTGCTGGGGTGAGTGGCTGTCTGGAGTGTGTTAGTGACTGTTTTCATGAGCTCTAGCCGAGTTGTTTGTCACCAGGACAGCGCTGCTGGCTGCAGGAGGGGACTGTATGGCTGATGAAAGATTTTAAGGGCTGGGGATGGTCAAATTACATGCAAAGCAAAGTTTCCAGAGGGAGCAAAGTTGAAGTGTGCTGTAAGGAGAAGAAGCTATGCAAGGGTGATTCAGGGTCTGGTGAAAAAAGGAGCAGAGCAACAGATTTGCTGAACACTTGCATAGTCGAAGCAACAAATTCAGTGCTATTTTCTGAGTGCATGCCTGTAGGTAACATGAGAGAAATAGCAGTATTTAAATACTGCATTAATATGCATGGTGCGCTAGTGCCTCGCTACACTCCCTCAGCTGCACTGTTGGGAAGAGTGGGGGCCTATAAGAAGCAGCACCAGAGCAGATCAGCAGGGCTGGAGCCCAGCAGGAAGCACTGCAAAGGAGCGGGGACCCCAGACACAGCTACAGGTGCAGGTACAGGGGAGTGTGGCCAACTTTGCTTTGCATTTGTGCTTTGCAAACTGACAGAGTTAGAGGCAGATGAAAGTGCATGGTGGAGCTTGCTGCAGGTTTTCACCACTTGTGCCCAGAGATTGCAAAGCCTCTGAGATGGCTTCTGGGAAGGCAGAAATGGACTGGGGGCAGAACTCTGTTGGGGTCCAGGTGCGCCAGTGAGTACATCATGTCTGGGGTGGTGTGAGGATGTCTTCAGTGCTGTAGGCCTGGGGGTCCCTGGGCAGGGGGACAGCAGGAGCCTCCAGTTGCACCCAAGCTGCTTGCTGGCCTGGCAATGTGAACAATTTGCTTGGTACTGTGTCGAGGAAAAGGTTTCCTGTCTTTGCATGACTTGGCTTGTGTGTGGTGGGGGAGATCTAGTCACCAGGACAAAAGAGCTGAGCGGGAAATAAGGTTTTCTCCATTAAAATTCCTTTAGGAAAAATGCTAATGGGAAATTTATATATATATATATATAAAAAATGATATATAGAATGATATATATATATATATATATATATAAATATAAATGATATATAGAATTATATATATATATATAATTCTACACTAAATCTTCTTCAGAGGTATAATTTTAGGTGGAAAGAAAGCATGAAGCAAAATGAGTAGTGCCGCAAGGTAGATATTAGGAAAAATTCCTTCTCAGAAGAATTGGTGAGGCAGTGGCACAGGCTGCCAGGGAGGTGGTGGAGTCATCATCCCCAGGGGTGTGGATATGGCACTGAGGGGCATGGTTAGCAGGCATGGTGGGGATGAGCTGGTACTTGGACTGGATGATCACTGAACTCTTTTCCAACCTTAATTTTATGATTCTGTGGTAGAGGTGGAAGCTCCGTGCTGTTCTGCAGCCTGGGGCTTGTCCTCAGCCCAGGCACAGCTGTGAAGCATGGCAGGAGCTGGGACTGGGAGTGCTACTGGCTTTGGTGAGGAACGTTAGAGCTGGTCTCTGGCTTAGGGCTCTAAAATTGTTATCTCTGGGTTTGAAACAATGATGGCTGTGATCTAACTCGGTTATTTACTTATCTGGGTGAATCATTTGAGCATCAACTTGAAGTGTTTGTTACGTTCTTACATAGGTAAGGAAATGCATTGCTCCCGTGTGCCAGATCAGGACAGGCCCTGCCAGGGGCCAGGATACCATGGGTGGCCCTGGCTGTCTCCCAGTAGGGCTCTGTCCCTGCCACTTTCCTGTCTGCTCCTCACATCGTTATCACCTTTGAATCATAAAATACCCCTGCTCCTGACTCCACACAGGACCACCCTTGCTCTGCAGGGCGGGTTGGGTGGCAAGAGGCACTCAGCATCACACACCTGCACTTCCGTAGACCAAAAAATGGCCAATGTCAGACAAGGTGGAAAAAATAGAGTCTGGGAAGCCACCCCAACACACCTTTTGGTCACCTGAAATACTCATTTGCACCTAAATTGGGGAAGATGGGGCTGGCCCCAGGGCATGTGTGTGGTGCAGTGTCTCTTCCTCTCCTGCTCTCATGACACAAGAAAACACTGAGCAAGGACTTTTCCCATTGTATGTTGTGCTGCTCGGTCCACAGCCTCACCTGCTGACTGCATGGAAAGCACGGCCGGCTTCCTGCCCACTGCTGATAGCATCAGCTCTTACTCATTTTTAATCAGCTCTGAAAGCAGCAGCCAGTTTCATGCTGGAAAAGAGGCATTGGCCCCAGTCCTGCAATCCTTTCCTCAGCAGGTGTGTTGTTTTGATTACCCATGGAGTTTCACATTGGTGCCCTACAGCTTGATGGAAGTGCTCACCTGCTTGGCCCGAGGAAGTTGGGGCTTACAATTCCTTGCTGAACACGGCTGCCGTTGCGCTGTACCTGCATTAAAGCTTCAGCTGGCTGTCGTCTTGTGCAGAGCTTTGGCTTGAAGTTAAAAAATGGAATGATGTCTGCTGACAGGGGAGGGAGTAAAACAGAAAAGGACCCTTGTAAGGCCAGTTACTGACTTGAATTGGCTTTGCTTTTCATTTTCATGTGGATGTTTTGACATTAGTTCTTTATTCCTAAGAGGAAATAACGTGTACAGCCTCACTCTCGTAATGGGTTCAGGAGGCTGAAATGCTGATGACATTCTGCAGAGGGGACACAGCCAGAGTGATCGGGATGTTTTTAGCCTCTTGTATTCCTTTTGGGGAGAATATGGCAGGATTTGGTGGATTCTGCTTGGAAGTATTACTTTTTTCTTGCACGCTCATTGCTGAAATGTTAGTGCTGTGGGCAGCAGCTGTGAGGTGCTGCACAAAATGGGGTTTTAGGAGCTTCTTTTTTTCTGGCATCTCACAGTGTATTTGGATTTTACTTTAGACATCATGTTGCCTGCATCTTTCTTCAGAGAAGTATAGTGCCAAAGCAGAGACCCAGAGATGCTCTGTATGTGTTGCAAATAGAAGGCATATGGACATGGCAGTTGGGCAAAGAACCAATGAAGTCAAATAACTACCAGTCCCATACCCTAAAGCGTACATACAAAATCACTTCTTAGTAATTCGTGTTGGCCCTGCACTCTCAGCATCTTCTTCGGACACTGTTTCTGGGGAGAGAAGGTTTTATTCTAGGGCAAAACCAATTGTTTTGACCTCACCTTGGGACCAAAGAGTGAGAACAGTCCCTGCCTCCAAAATGGGGGCATTTTTGCTTGTGATGATTACTGGCTCTTCCCACTTAACTTCGAAGCTATTATTGCTAATGAATTATCAGCAAATCTTATCCTCAGCTCACCTGCTGGGAAACAATGCCTGCAAAACAATAGTAGGCTATAGGAAGAGTGTTGTGTCAGGGGCTGGCCGGCTCCCAGGGCACATCTCTCATCTCTGACGGGTGGGTGCAGCAGTGGCACCTCTGTCAGCGCTGACTGTGGGAGCCAAGGCCCCCTCTGTTTTGCAATAGCTGTGTAAAGGAGGTGATTGCTCAAACCGGAGCAGGTAGGATAAAACCTGAGACCACGGAAATGTCACAGGAGCCTCCTATATTACCCCACTGTTTGGGATTTGAGGGTCTTTCCACTTTTAAGCACTGTCAGGATGAAAAATCCACACACTGGGAGCTTTTCATTAAATCAGTTCCTGACTCTCTTCTTCTCAGGCCATGTCCTCTTCCATCAGAATTGAATCTGTTGTGAAGGAGAAGAACCGGATGGGAGAATGCCCGGTCTGGGAAGAACAGGAGAACGCGCTCGTCTATGTCGACATTAATGGCCAGAAAGTCTGCCGCTGGAGCGCGCTCAGCCACGAGGTGCAGTGCGTGTCTGTGGGTAAGGGCACAACTGGCGTGGGTATTCACTTGTCTCAGGAGTCTCCTCTGTGTCTGCAGAGGGAAAGGCTTGGTCCCAAGGGCTGTGCATGCCCTGAAAGTGGGGGTATTTGGAGGATGTGGAGATGGCAAGATGTGGTCCTCAAGGATGTTGCAGAGGTGACTGGAGAAATGTTGCCTTTGCTCTGTTTGCACCAGCTGGGCCTTTCTTGAGCCAGCAGTGGCCTTAGAGAGGTGGGGGAGATCAGGTCTGCTGATGAGCCCAGAAGTGCCCATCTTTTCCTGTTCCCTCTCACCCACAGATGCCCGTGTCAGCTCTGTGGCCCTGAGGCAGCGTGGGGGCTACATCATCACCCTGGGGTCCAGGTTTGCCTTTCTGGACTGGGACACCCAGAAGGTCACCACCATCCTCGAGCTTGAGCAGGATAAACCCAACAACAGGTTCAATGATGGCAAAGTGGATCCCAAGGGGAGGTACTTTGCTGGTAAGTCCCCAGCAGAATTTTCCTCTGGAGCAAAGAGGAACCAATGACAGTGTGTTTTATGTAGTGCATTTTATTCCATGTCAACTCCTTTGTTGACTTCCCCACAAAAACCACTGTCGCCAGTGTGGGTGATCTTGTGAGTGCTGTGCTCAGCTGCTGCTTCAGCCTCCGATCACCCAGCAGAGGAGAACATGCAATCCTGAATCCTTTGATCTAGATGAGGGCAGGCATTGCCCACAAAGACTGTCAGGCAGGAAGGCTCTGCTTCTACTTGGCAGATGGCATTTCCCCAAAACCTGCAGCATGTGGGAAATGACAGTGGCAGAAAGCCTCTGGCTGGCACTGGTTACAATGCAGCCAGGGTGCCCCTGTGCTTGTTTTCCTCTCAAGCACAGCCATCCACAGCAGGAGCAGAGAGTGACTGATGAGAGAGGAAATGGCCCCACACTTTATCTGCTAGCCAGCCATTTCATCTTCTTTTGTATTTGCTAAAATCAGCCAATACCTTTGGCTCTCAGTTATTCTTTAGGGATGATGTGTCACTGGACTTAAGAGTGAGAATAGAGAGAAATTAAACAAAATCTGCTTTGTACACCTGCTCCTAGCTGTGCAGAGTGGATCAGTGATTTCAAAAGCAGGTATGGCCAAATGTTGTAAAAGTAACTCAGAAATCTTACAAGATATGAGACCAATTGAAACAGATTGCCGCAGCTGAAAGAAAATGTAAATACTCCTTATTGGATGCTTACCATCCTTCATCACTGAACTCTCTCTTTGGAAAAGGGTGAATCAGAACTGAACAATGAGTGCAACACTGAAGAATAATTTGATTTTTTAAAAATCTCAACTCTGTTATTCTTCACTGTTTTTCGAGGTAGCCATGTGATTTACAGCACCTATATTTTGAGGTAACAGTGCATTTGAATAATAAAAGTAGCCCACAAAAAAAGAAGAGCATATGACACTTGCCTGCATCCTTTTTTTTCTTTGAGGGCTGTAAGCAAAACCTCAGCCTTTGGTGTCTTGTGGCTTTCTTCTCAATCTTGCTGCCTAAGACTGAAAGCTCACAGAGGTGCAGAAACTTGTCCTGCCATTGGCCAGGATCACTTCCCAAGAACAGCTCCTCTTCTCTGTCTCACCACTCTGACAGCACCCAGTTTGCCCCATTCTCACTGCCACGAGGAGAGGATTTTTCTCTTCTTCTACCACCCTGCTGTTTCCCACATGGCTTTTACCACCCTCTGGTGTATAGGAACGCCTCCAGGCCCATTTCTACAAACTCTCCATCCTCACAATGTCTCCACAGTTCAGCTGCTTTGTTGCCAAGTGTTACCTTGGGTTGGAGATGTTCTCATTATTTGAGACAACCTGGGAAATATATACTATTGGACTAGAGTATTCAATATCCGATGAATAATAGCTGAAGTCACAAAAGCTTAAAGGAGTGTGACAACGCCTGTTGCTAGGACTTCTTGCTAAAAGTTAAAGGAAGCTCCTGGCCAAGCAAGTTCCTGTGGAAACAAGCTTTTCCATCCTAAGCAACACTTCTCCTGCTTTCATTTCAGGCACGATGGCTGAAGAGACAGCACCAGGGGTCCGAGCAAGACGGCAAGGGGCTCTCTATACTCTTTTCCCTGACCTATCAGTAATAAAACAGTTAGACCAAGTGGACATCTCCAATGGTCTGGACTGGTCCTTGGACCACAGGACCTTCTTTCACACTGACAGCCTGGCGTACGCTGTGCATGCCTTCAGCTATGACGTGTGCACTGGAAAGATTGGTACACACACTTTCTTGAGTTCTCAAGGAGTGTTTTTGCTCTTTCTGCAGCAAGGCTGGGGAGTGTAATATGTTGTGGTTTATCTGATCTCGTATCTTGTGGTTACAGCTTCTTTGCAGGCTGACCGTGATTTTTCTCAAGTTTAGTTATACGGCAGGTGCATTTGGTGAACTATCTTTCAACAGTCCTTTGACTTTAGCACTTTCAGCTGGATAGATGGCTTGTGTTTAGAGCTGTCCCCAGGGAACTGCAGGGATGAAGCCGTTTATCCTGGGAATTAGTTTATGCTAACTAGGGTGCTGTTTATTCTCGACTGCCATCTACTGGAATGCTTCAATTATATTCACTTCATAAATGTGAATGCAGAATTAGCATGGAAGTATGTCACAGAAATGTATTTTAAAAAAACAAATTATCATTGCTACTGAAGTTTCTCATTTCTGAAGGTAAAGTTATCTAAAGATGTTGGATAAAATTGGCATAAAGTCATTTTCTAGACAAATATTTTTTATGCAGAAAGGGAATTCAAATACAAACTTGACTGATAGAACCTCAGTCAAAACTGTGAAGTATTTTTGGGCTGTATCAACCCGTTATGCTCCATGGGAGTTGGAACAGCTGAACTTTCATCCCCTGTGCTTGGGTCAGTGTGACCTTGGTGTAATCGTGGGTGAAAAGCTTACAAAATAATTGCAATTGCTCAGATTGCTGCTTTCTCTGCTGTCTAAATTTTAGGAGAAAGGATTTCTAAAACAGAACATATTCTCCTCAAAATATGAAATCCCAACGATCCTGTGCCACTGCCTACCTGCTTGGTGCAGGCCCTGTGCTGTAGCCCATGTGGTTCCCAAGCCTAATGAAAATGGGGGGCTTTGCTGGCCCTCAAAATAAGTGCAATTCTTGATCTTTACCTGAGAGAGAGATAATTGCTGATATTTAAACTCAGGGGTGCCTTGCTCATAATGAGACACTCCTTGAGAGCTGTCTCGTGCCTCTCCTGCAGCCTGCCCCAGACTGCTGTACCACTTGGAGGAGGAGGAGCGGATGCCCGACGGGATGTGCACTGATGCAGAGGGGAAGCTCTGGGTGGCCTGCATTGATGGAGGAAGAGTGATCCGCATTGATCCAGAGACAGGTGAGGCCTGCTCCGGCTGAGTCCTGCTTGTGGGACAGCCTGTCTGAGCAGCCAGGCCTCCAAGGGGAACTCGGGAGGAGACCACTGCCTGAGCTTGGCTCTACTGCAAGGGCAGTGCCTTCTGAGTAAACACCCATAGCTCTGATGCCATCGCTCGTGCTGATTTCATATATGCATCCTCCCTGTAAAAAGGGAATTGGAAACTCTCATATTTTTCCCAGGAAAAAGAATCCAAACTGTGAGGCTGCCGACTTCAAGGATCACCTCCTGCTGCTTTGGAGGAAAGGACTACGCGGAGATGTACGTGACGTCTGCCTATGATGGGCTGGACGAGGCCACCCTCGCCAAGGAGCCTCAGGCAGGAGAGATATTCAAGGTGATGGGATTTGAGATCTTTCTGTAAATTAGACCTCTCAGGCCTGCAGCTCCTATGTTTGCCTGTTTATATAGCGTGTTCTGTAATATACTGTAAGGAAATAAGTCACCAGAGCAAAACTTAGCATCCCATTCCCCCAGATTGTGAGGGGCTTTTTTTTTTGGATGTTAAAAATGGGCTCCACATTTTAGATAATTAACAATCCATATTTTTTTTTCCAGGGCTCTTGAATCCAAAGGTTTTTTTCTGCCTTCATTTTTCAGTCCATCTGCTCTACAATTGCATTTGCTATCATTCCCTGGAAGTTGACCATAGTGTAGAAGAGAAAGGCTATTAGTGAGGGAAACGGGAAAAAAAAAAACCTATTCTGTATTATCAGTTTGGCAATAGATGAAGACATCTAGTTCTAGGAGGGATGGGGCTCTAATCTGGGATCTGAGTCCTTCTAATGGAAAGAAGTTCTTGGAAGAAGTTTCCTGTGGCTGAGAACTAGTACATCTCTCAAGCAGCAGAGTTTAGGAGGCCACAATTAATATCACAGTTAAATATCAAAAGGTTATTATGAACCTTTTTTATCCCCTTTCCAGCTATAAAAGGGAATTGGTATTTTCCAAACTCACATGTGTTTTGTATGGGCAAAGCTGTTTAAAAATCACTATGGCTTGTTTAGGTAAAACAATACTACATGTAATGCTTACTGATAATGTGTAAATTACCAAAATTAGTGACCAGTGCTTTATAATCTTAAAGTTCTTCATGCTCTAAGATTCTAAAGAGCTCCATGTAATGACTTTTTTGACTCTTCTTAAAACAAGAGACTCTTGATGTAGGGATAGGTTGCTATGATATTTTTTTACACAACATTTGAATGTTTTTATTGTGCTCAGTCATAGATTTATCTTTTTCCTTTCTTTTCTTTGTTTTTTTTTTTTTTAAACAGATAACAGGCCTGGGTGTTAAAGGGATCCCACAGAATTTTTTTGCTGCTTAGAAGTCACCACTAAGTAACAAATGAGAAGTGCTTGCCTCTTGCAGTAATTCTGGGAAGGAGAAGTCCAATGAGCTACAGAATCCATCCTGCGAGGATTTCTAAACCCATGATTGAGAATGTGCTTGTTTGGAACCGAAGATATTCCTTCTTCTGTGGGCCCATGGCAGGTTACAATAGGTCAGAGAGGTAAAGTGTTACAACTTGACATCTTCCGTGACTTTACATAAACTTCTTTGAGCTTGAGCTTAGTTATTTTGAGCTTTCTGATCACCAGCTCTGGGTTTTCATGTCTCTGTGGTTTCCAAAGCAGATCTGGCTCCTGGTCTGTCTCCTCATGAGACAATGATGTAACAGAAATGATACAGCTGATTTTAATACACATTTTGAGAGTGATAACTGGAACAGGACTGCTCCTTTGCTGCGGGCTTTCATCTCTCACTTGAAGTATTCAGGCTCCAATTTTAGGTTCTAGGCTGTTTCCATTTGCTTTGTCACAAAGTTTCCTGTTTTGCCTTTAGGCCACCATTTACGCCTTGAAAATAAACTACACAACCACATTTAAAAGGTGTTTATGGATTTATTTTTTTTTTCAGCATTCAGTTGTTATCATGAAAAAGCTGAGAAACCACACACAGTTGGTTTGCAGGCAGGTTCTGAGTTACCAGGCTCATAGAATATAGCCTATGATACAGAAAACTGCTCTATAGAATTGTCCCACCAGAGGTCATATTTGCACGTGCACGTCTGGACTACTCTTTGATTTCTATACCTTCTTATTGCATGTATGGCTTCAGCTTCTTATTGCATGAAAGGCTCCTCTCTTTCTCTCCTGCTTCAAGTCTTGCTTTTTCCCCCTTCCTTTTAGTTTTTCTTCTCTTCCCTCTAAGTTTCTTCCTCTATTTAGAGTAATGTCAATTTTGTTCAGCATTCTATTGTCTCTTTATGGTCCATTTTGCTCACTGTCAGGTTCATATGTAATCGTTCTCTCCGCCTTCGATGCCGTATTGAACATCTGCCCAGATTCCTGTTTGCACTGCTTTCACTTCCTCTTTCTTCTCTAGGAGGGCAAATGTGTTTTACTGACATTTCTCTGTTTGCCTGAGATGTGCAGTTTTCTTCCACACTAATGCCTACACCAATGCTGAGACTGGCTCCTCAGGATTCAGGCAGGAGACCCTCAACCTACCCTTATCTTTTACATGAAAGTACGATTCTGCTTAAAAATACAGAAAATTGCATCTTTTGAAAATTTTATGAGCTGAACAAGACTGTTAAATGCACTATATGCATTTAACATGAGGGAAAAGGAAGTTATGCATTTTTGCACGTCTATTAGACGGAGGCAATGTTATGTATAGTTTTTGAGTTGAACTAACTCTTTCTTTCAAAAATTTTAGCTAGAAAATTGAACACCCCAAGGACTTCTTTTGGAGCTGTCCAAAGCCAAACTGGGCATATTGGAATGAAAAATAATGTCCAGTTTCATGACAAAATGAGGAAAATATCAGTTTGCTGAAACCTAAAGTTGGTTTCAGTGCTTGGCTAGTTACTTCTGTCAATGTGGTAGGTTGCTCGTTTGAAAGCAGGTTTTCTCACTGAAGTGAGCAATGTGCACTGTTTGGCTCTTATTTTCACTGAACTTATTTTAAAGACTCTAGTAGATCTTAACCACATAACATGAGCCATCATGATTTCAAGGAGGTATATTTTTAAGAAATGTGCATTCAAAAATTAAAACTGAATCCGCACAGAGGGAAATTTTGGAATATTTTTTGTATGTTTATTGGATTTGCTTGAGAATGAGACTGTGGGAAAGGAGGCATCAGTAATTTGAGGATCGTATTGTGAATTCTTTCCAACTGTTCAATATTTGTAAGATTGTTTTGTTTTTTGATACTGCTCTTCATTCCAACTCCAACAGCATCTGCCAGGGGCCAAGGTTTTTGGGACCCATATTGACTTGGTTGAAGGAACTCCTGAATATAGGATTTACCCAAAGGCATACCTTCAGGGAGCCGGGTCCTGTCCAAAACCTGCCCAGTCTGAGACAGAGAGTAATGGAAGTGAAACTGCTCACCTCCTCCTACTGCTTCTACTACAAGAGCTACAGACAGGAGGAAGCAGTACTTTACATGTCATCAAGTGAAGTGTACGTTGCAAAAAGCTGCCTGTGTGAAAACAGTGTTGTGGAGAGGTAAAAGGGGGGCTCTCAGTGTTTCTTGGGCTTGTACAGACCTGGACCCTGTCAAAACTGTCATTTTCTCCTGTAACCCTATGGCCTGCAGTTCATCATCCTGTGAGGAGGAGCTGATTATGCCACCAGAGGTAAAGAAAGCACAAATCAAGGTTCATTTTAGAGGTTATTTAACTGAGAACCTAACACTATGCTGGATTCACTGTAACCCATTTGATCCCAGCTGGGGGAGTAGGCTTTGTCCCATTGAAGAATACAGCTTTGTGGGAATCTGCTCAATCTCAGGAAGAGCTCCAGAAGCTGTGTTTAGAAAAAGCATAGTACACACGCAACAACTTTTCACAGAATCAATGCATTTCAATCTGTCTTTTGTTTGGGTATCTGTAATTAATTTCTAGGGAAAGGTTTACTTTTCACTGTGTGAGAATACTAAAAGCATATAGACAGCCAGTGAGATACAGCTTTTGCATTGAATTTGGTATCTGCATACTGCCTGGAAAGATAGCACATAATACAGTTTCAGGTCCTTAATGCTGATTGTCAGTTGGCAATGTTACAAAATGGTCAGTAATAGTCATTGTTTACTGGACCAGATGTTCTGTGTCTTTCTCTCAAATGTTTGGCTCTTCCATCGTAGTTACTCAAAGCCCTGTGTTAGCTCTCAGACACTGCAGGATGAGTAGGAGAAAGTAGTTGATAGCTTGGTAGGACAATCCCCCAAATAACCCATGCGTGGAACAGCAGGGAAACAGCAATTAGCAGTTTGGAAATGACAATCTCCACAGAGTGGTATGCAGATTCCCTGAAATTTGGCTGGCTTCTCCAGAGCCAGCATCCCTCCTAGCACTTTCAAATGAACCAATCTGAGTGGATTTCTTCTTTTCAGAACATGTGAAGTGTACTGCTCCCTTATGTGTCAGGCTGGGGGCCTGCTGACAAGCAGATCAGGTAGAAGGCTGTAATCAGGCAGAAGGTAGATAAACTCTGGGTCCCAGGACAATGTCTGTCCACTCTGAAGGGGGATGTGACCTGGGGGAGATAAGTGGTATCTTTGACCCCTTCAGATGAACTGGGCAACAGTCATGAAATAAATTTGCGGTCAGAGGGGCATAGAATCATTAGAATGGCTCAAGCTGGGAGAGATATTAGTCATCCAGTTCCAACCCCCTGCCGTGGGCAGGGCTGCCGCCCATCAGCTCAGGCTGACCAGGGCTCCATCCAACCTGCATGGGGCACCACAGCTTCTCTGGGCAGCCTGTGCCAGTGCCTCACCACCCTTTGAGTAAAGAGTTTCTTCCTATCTTCTAACCTGAACTTCCCTTCTTTTAGTTTAAAGCCATTCCCCCTTGTCCTATCACTATCTGCCTATGTAAGAAGTTGTTCTCCCTCCTGTTTATAAGCTCCCTTGAAGTACTAGAAGGCCACAGTGAGGTTTCCTTGCAGCCTTCTCTTCTGCAGGCTGAACAAGCCCAGCTCCCTTGGTCTGTCTTCATAGGAGGGGTGCACCAGCTCTCTGATCATCTTCATGGCCCTTCTTTTGACCTGCTCCAACAGCTCCAGGTCTTTCTTGCAGCCTCACGAAGGGGACAATCCCCAGTCTCTTTCCTCTCCCTGCTGACCATCACTCTTTTGTTGCAGCTTAGGATATGGTTGCCTTTCTGGGCTGCAAGCATGCATTGCTGGTTCGTGTCCAGCTTTACATTCACCAGGATGAAAGTCCTTCTCCGCAGGGCTGCTCTAAGTGAATGCTCCCAGTCTGTATCGCATCTGGGATGGCACTGACCCAAAAATGCAATACCTTGCACTTGGCCTTGTTGAACGTTATTAGGTTCTTGTGGGTCTACCTTTCAAGTCTGTTCAGGTCTCTCTGAATGGCATCTCTTCGTTCTGGTGTATCAATTGCACCACACAGCTCAGTGCCATGAATGGAGCTTTGTCTGCTAAGAACTATTGAATATATTTGGCCATTGAACAGGATTTTCTGGAGTAAGTTATTTCATTGTGGTTACCTGGAGTGTACTGTAAAACCTGTGCTAGGTACTTTTTCAATGCTTGTTCTAGGTGATCGAACTGGGTCATCAACAAGCACTTTCTTGCTCTGCTATTTGACCTGATAATTAGTAACTCAGGATAAAAGCTCTCTGCAGCTCGTTCTAATGTTTGCTGAACTACTACTGTTGTTTTTTTCCCTATTTACAATTCCAGTAGTAATTAAGCAGCTGGGGATTCTTATCAACTAAGGTGTTAAATGCCTTCTGGCACCATACCTGTGCCAAACTGGTATAAAGAACATTGAGAATTATGCAAGATTTCCTGTTTACCCACTCTGGAGAGGAATGAGAAGGCAGGATGTTTGGAGGATAGTCAAGTGTCTTAACTTTTAATTAAAAAGTAGGAAATGTATGCAGATACTTCATCTAATTAAACAAATATCCAATTATTTACAAAATTGCCTATCCAATAAGCTCTGCCAGAAAAGGAAAGTGGATTGTTTTGAAACAATTTGCCCATGAGAAATCCTTACTGCTCTCATATTTTTCTTCTAGAGCTTCCCTGGGCATGCAGTCCAGGCTCACTGGTCTGTAAATCTCTAGCCACTCCTTCCCCTATCTCCAAGGGGAAATCTTGTGTGCATCATTCAAACTGTCGGAGTGTATTGGGAACTCTCTCAGCTTAGTAAGGCTTCCCAAACTGAAGAAATGATGAAAGAGGCATGTCTTTCTGTTTCTCAGAGACCTGCTACTACACTTTCTAGATTTCAGAAATTATTGTTCATGATTTTGCTTCTAAAAAAAAAAAAAAAAAAAAAAAAAGTGTTT